TTTTTTAATAAGATGTAAATAATTATATAAAAATCATGATATTAATAATTATAAGCCGAAAATTATTTACATATAATGTCAAATACAGTAATATTGTTACATTTTCTGTGCTTACTTCTTCAACGACTGATAATTTAGATGGGAAATAAAATAGAAATGCATACTACATTTCGGCAAACGAAACTTAGGATTCCGGTGATACCAAATCTCCGACACAGAATTACAGTATAATTTTATAGGATATTTCTCAATTTGTTCATTTGATATCTGCATTAGACAAAGGTTCTTGGTAAGGAATATATTCGGTGATGGTAAAAAAAATTCCGGTAATGGCTCGATGACTTTCCAACGTTTGATCCACACTTTCGGTATCTCAATATCCGTATATGCCGTTTGCCACCATGGTTCAATTTTCTTTAATTCGAAATCATTAAAATCCTTGGAGAAAATCATAATATTTGCCATCTCAGGTGTTAAATAATTCAAACATTGTTGTATAACTTTTGCATTATAATCCGAATCAAGCTGGTTTACAGTTATATAATCCTTCGACCAATAGAAATACATATTCTTACAGAATAGTTCTACCTCAGAGATATCTTCTTTGTCGTAATTAACGTATCTAAAAAGACCTTAAATTAGGTAAGTAAGCGGCGTTCTAACACACACGTGTTGAAATAAATACATATATTTATTTTTTAAATTACCTAAAATTATTTTGTTGACACTCATAAATATCATTGTAAATTTCTTTCTGCGGACCCGCTCTCTTTAGTAAATTGATAAAAGAAAATATCGCATCTAGAACATCTTCCAGATGTTTTAGTCCTTCAGAAGTGAGTTCTATGGTGAGCTGCATTAAGCCATACAAAGAGTTTTGTTGACTCATACAATTAAATATATTGTCTAATGGGCTCCATATTTTTTGTCGTAGATAACTAATTAAGGAACCTTCTCCTTCATATCGAATAATTTTCGAGATATATTGATATGAATTACATTTAGAAAAATCAGAGAACGAAGGCAAGGCCCACGTTAGCTGCAAAAGAGGAAGTTTAATTTGTAGATTTATTTTCATTTTTATGTTGTATAATCCTAAATTCTTTTATATCTGCTCAAATTTTAGCCACATACTTGTACCAAAAGTTCCTCATCATGTTTAATTTTATACATTTTTCGGAAAGCGGGAGTATTAAAAGGCAGATCGTTTTTAAATTTGGAAAAATTATCTGGAGGTATCCCGTTGTTTGACACATTAGCAAAGCACGATGTGACAAATTTTTCCATTACATCCAACGATAGTCCCGACTATAAAAAGACATATTATGTTATGATTTAATTTTATTTTACAAACAAAAGTATCATAAACTCTATAAGTAATAAATAATTCTCGCGTCGCAATTTTCACAAAGTTACTTGTATTGCTAGCTTCATTCGGTGAGCACTATAGTGGCGATTTTTAAATTTGACTAGCATATTGTACAATTTGTCGTAATCTACATGATCGTGTAATTTTATTAAATGGTCTACAGAAAACTTGTTGGCTGGATGACCAGTTTGTGCGAAAGAGGAAAATAGGTGGTCGAATATATTCTGTCTTTTACCTAAGCTTCTCTGAAACTCTATATAAGCATAGAATATCAAGATCGCAAGTTGCGACAAAAGTGTTTATATTACGATTTATAATACCAGTTTGTACATCATGTTGTTCCATAAGTACTTGTTTCGATATTATAGGCTCAACAAAAAAATCACCAAATCTCTTGAGAGCTACAAACAAGCTGTTTTCTTCGATGTCAAAGAAAAATATTGTATGCTCGTTGTCGACTGAGATATCATTAATACCCTTATGGTTTTCAATATACTTGTCCAAAGTACATTGCTGCAAATAAAACGATATTTAAATACTTAAATATACGAATAAATAAATTTACGGTAAATTTATGTATTATGTTTTAATACCTCTGGAGATTTTTTGAGATCTTGAAAAAGTATATAATGTAAGAAATACGATATGCCCGGAAATTCTGGTGGATCGCAGAAATTTCCTACGTTCACGCATAAGCTACACGATGCCTGTTTAAAAAAATATATAAGAGTATATACCTCACGTGCATTATACGCAGTATTAAATGGGGAGAATTGAACATAATCCGCAGAATGAAGTAAACAATTTGAAATTGTACACACATTTCGAAATCATTTCATGGAAACTGGTCTGCAGTGCTGGAGATTAAATTTTTCAAATCAAAACTTCTGATAATACACTGCTTTAATCTTATGAAAATGGATATCTTTTATGATTTTAAAGTTTATTGTTAATATTAATTGTAAAGAGAAATATTGGATGAGTTAAAAAAATTCGTAAGTCCTAAAATGCAAATTAAATTGTCTTTTTTATACCTGCTTTTCTTGAGAAGAAGACGTTAAATTTTCATTGGATATTAGCAAAGCTTCTAAACCGTTTGGCAATCTGATGGCTCTAAATTTTGAAGATAAAACAAACAATAATAGAATGAGAAGTAAAAATATTGTATACTTTGTCAATCAATTAAAAAATTTAAATGTATTATAATATTTCTTTCCAAAGTTTGCTATCATATTATTTCTCACGTTTAATGCAATCGAAATCGTGACTGCTGAGTATATGCTCGCTTTTACCTATATTCCTTGTTATCATTCTCGCTTTTGTCGATCGGATCCAAATGTACATTTTGTTGGATCTTGGCATCCCGACTCTCCACTGGCATTATGTCACCGTGCAGAAAATTAGAATCGAAATTATGTCGATTTGTGAAATACAATTTGATCTGGAAAA